ATTTACTGTTCTGTCGTTTCTCCCCCACCTCCTTGTTGTTTCTGCCTATTCAGAGAAAAAAAAAAAAGTATATGCATGTGTACAGATGTACACACCACCCACCACAGCAGACCCTGTGAAAGCCTGGTCCCCTGTGTTTTGTTTTTCTGTCCAAGGCTGAGCTTCCATATGGATTCTTCGATGCCCAGAAAGGCTCTAGGCATTTCCACCAGTAGGGCATCACCTGAGTTGTCATCCTCTATTTAGCACTTCTATTTCCTTGACGCCTGGAAAGGCATCTCTAAGTCCTTTCCCCCTCTCCTCTGGGTGGAACTGGCCAGCAGATTCAAAAGCTGCAGCAGAGAAAGGGAAAAACCAGGAAGGCAGAGCTGTACACACACACACTGCATCTGCGCAGAGAGGCTGTGCGATCACACGCCTTATTTCTTTAAGAAATCAGATTAAAAAGCAATCTACTCTTTGCCAACTGTAACCAAGTCTGAACCATTAGCTGGCACAGTCTCCACCCAAGGAAGAAAACCTCATTTGGAGAATGCAAGTAGTTTTTAATCTCAGAGCCTGTAAAATAGTTCATCTCAGCAAAACGAGTGCTCTTGTCTCTGAATTTTGTCTAACATCTTTTCTCCCCGTATTTCAGCAAACTCAATTTGTTTGTTTTTTTTTTTTAAAGTTGTGCAGCACCATGAATACATCACACAAATACACACAAGCACACATCCATTATCCTTAGGCACTTGCAAATGTAACAGAAAACAAGCAAAGGGAGCATATATTTCAGTCCATCCACCTAAGCATTTACATGGCCTCCATCACTGTGACATCCAAACATTTTGTTAGTCCCACGACTTTTCTGTAACATTATTGCTGTTTTATGAAATTTCATTTTTGTTAGTCCTGGGACTTGCCTGTGGCTTTTTTATTAGATTATGAAATTTCATTTCCTGTCATCTGCTGGAATTAAACTTTGATCAGAAGACGCAAGCTTGCAAGGCTTGTGGTGGCAAGCCTAACCCCAGAAGGTGAGGTATAAACCCTCCGCCTTCAGCAGGCAGTCAGGGAACGCAGGACACCGAGCCCAGAGGTGGAAAAAGCAATGACCGAGCGCTGTGTGCTGGGCTCCCTACTCCCATGTGGTCTATCCCACCGGTAAAGCCCACTCCCCTGGGAGACAGCAGTAATTAGAAGGGCCCTTCCTCCCAATTTCTTGATCTGTAAGATCCTATTCTTCTTCCCATACTAATACAAGACTTCAAAAAGCATCTCAATTCCACCTCTGGATGCATCACCCTTTAGCAAGTGGTTGCAGCCCATGTCTGCAACTTTGACATGTCTCAGTTTTACATTCACTTTTCCCAGTGGTTTCCGCTCCACTGACTCCATGTTGCCCATGTAACACCACGTTTCACAAAAAAGCTCTTTGTTTGCCATTTTCCTGCCACCTCCACCACCCCAGCTCCCATCATCCCCCAGCGCCCCCCAGCTATGGGAGCCAAAGTCAACAGGCAGCCAGAAAGGGGATTTGACCTCCGCCATCCCATGCTCATGAATGCACTCTCCAGGGGGAGCAGGGAAAGGCAAGGGGGGATGGCACAGAGCCAGCCTCCGTGAGCTCAGCCAAGGGATGCTAAGGAGCCAGGAGCACAGCACGACTCCCCTTCACAAGGAGCTTTTGTTGATGCCACTGCTCCGGCCCGTTGACGGAGTGCTTGGCAGCACAGGCTTTTCCACCCTTCGGCTGTTGGCTGTATCAGTAGCCAGGTCATAACCAGAGCAGTGGCTCTTGCAGGACTCAGGCAATGCTCCGAGGGCGTGCTACCAGCCAGAAGAGGACAAATGTTGACGCACCATCATCTTCTCGTAGTCCTCCCCCAGTACATGTGCCCTGTCACACGGTGACTTTCATTTCAGCAAAGGCAGCTGGGATGTTGGACACTCGACAGCCTATTAGTCCACTTTTAAGACTTGTGGGCAACCCAGCAGGCTGGTCCAAGGAGACTTTCCAGCCCAACATGACATCCAACCTTGTCAGTCCAAGTTCACCTTTCTCTCTCTAGGAGATAAACCATCTGCTTAATGCTAGGAGACACAGAAGGAAAAAGATGTGCTCAGAGAGACTCACGAGGTGCTTTGGGTAACGTGTCCAACATGAGCACACAATGTTCTGCATCTGTGACAAAAACAACAGGAAAAACCTGCTCCTGCAGGCTTGCCAAACTGGGATTTCAACAAGTGGCAACATATCAGCTGGCGATGAACAGCTCCTGATTCAGGGAATGATGCACTTTCCCAAAAAGAATTCAGGGTTTGGGGTTTTTTTCTTAGTAAATGATAACATGCTGGGTGCCATTCAGGATGGCTCCTGCCCAAAAATTAACCGATAATGAGGGACCCAGAGGAAAGTTCTGGCTAAAGGAGATTTGGAGGTGGTTGCCAGCTGCACTGTCCTGAACAGTGTTAAAATAAGGAAAAACCTGTATGTGAGGCCCTGGAAAGGCAGCTCAGGACCACTCAGAGTGATTTGATGATTTGGGCAAGAGCTTCACCCCATGAATAGGAAGTCTTCAGGGAGAAGGAAAGGAATAGCAGCCCATTAGTGGAGTGAAAGAGGAGACACCGGGGAAAGAGACATTCAGGATGCAGAAGACAAACACAAGCTTCAAGGTATTGCCAGATTGAAACCATCTGCAACAGCTCAGCTGAGACTGCAAAGCAACCTAAGGCTTTGGACCTGCTGAGCGACAAGGAAGGAGAGCTTAGAAATTGCGTTTTGGAAAGCATGGAGAGGACTGCGACATTTCTTGTGGGGGTGAGAAATAAATCAATTCCAGCTACCAGGGCAGACCATAGCCAGGGTACCACCAAATATTCCAGCCACTGCAAGTGAATGGAAGAGTTGTATTTGTGTTGTGGATGAAAAAGTGGTGAGGTTTGGTAGCAAGCCTGATGTAAAGGGAGATACGGGCCAAAGATGCAAAGCCATGCATGGCAGTTGACAATGGTGCTATAACTAAACAAAAAGGCATAGGCAGAAGAGACACTGGGGAGAAAAAAGCAGGAGGCTCAGAGCAGGTAAGGCCATGTGCTAGGGAGACTATCCACAGGGCAGGAGGATCTGCAGCCTCCAACAAGGAGGAGAGCTTAGGCAGTATGAGTAGTATGCCCATGGCGGTGCCTATGATACTTGTGACTCATTAAAGAGCTATTTCTCTGGTTTTAAAGATGTATTTAATTTCTGTCGACTCCATCTCTCCAAACAACATCAATAAAACTTCTAGAAACTTTGCGGCGTTGCGGTTTCGTAGCAGAATTGGAAAAAATACAGTATGATGAGAAGGAAAACTGGCTTTTCTGGTGAAACATTTTTGTCTCCCAAAAACTACACACACGAGGGCCCATCGCAGCACCCCTCCAGTTTCTGGGAATACAGAAAATCCACTAACACACTTATTCAAACACCTCTGAATACATACACACATCTGTTCACCAAAACTGGTTACTCACATAATGTTCACTCCACTTTGATTCTTCCACTACGGTCAGAGGTTACTGTCCCTTTTTTATATTTGTATCTCTAAGCTCCATCAGTGGCAAATACCCAAGCACTTCCAAAGTGTTCTGACAAATCCCTCCATAAGGCACGTAACATCATCCCAATTTTACAGATGGGGAAATTAAAGCAAGAGACAGAGGTTAAGACAGTTAATTGCCTACGGACACTGAGTCAGTAGAAGTGCTGGGAATTGATCCCAGGAACCATGTCTTCCATTCCTCTACTCCACCCACCAGTCAGTACACCCTACCAGATGGTTCTTATCATTGGACATATGGACTAAATATTGCTAAGTTGGTGTAGAAGATTTGCTATTTAATTAAATGTCCTGTCTTCTATCTCCATAGGATGGATAGGGGAAGCTCCAGCCAGAAACTCATCTGGACCCACTCAGGAAATGTCTTCATAAAGCAAATAAAGCCCTAGGCAAGCACAAGAAACGTTCCCAAACCTATCAACCTGCCCTGCAACGCATACCCCAGCAAGGCCAGGAAATATGTTGCCACTCAGGAGCCTCAGAAGCTCATGTTTGTCATGGTCTGGCTTCAAACAGTGTATGCGTGAGCCACCAATTATGCTGGGAACTACTTTGCCATATGAAGGCTCTTCCTCCAGCCTTGACTGGGCACCACCAACGCTGCCCAACTGGATATACCAGCAGTCACAAAAAAGCACATGGCAGAGAGTCATCTACTTTCTTCTGGCATTAGTTGTATCACAGGGCAGCACTAGTGTTGGTAGGACAGAGGGACCAGTTCTGCCTGGCAAACATCAGATGCCTTCTCGCTTTATAGTCACTACCAAGGCCACTTGAAATAGCTCCCTAAAGTGGTTATTCACGACACAGAGGAGGACACCTTCCAGCAGAGAAGTAGCAGGAAGACACCTTCCACATTGCTGAAAGCCAGGTCAGCAATTGCTTTCCCGGCAGGGACCTTACAAACTTACAGCAGCATCTCAGTCCCCATGCACAGACAGACACAGAACGGGTGCACCTACCTCTCCAACAGAGCCCAAACCAATTTCACATCCTTTTCCCCCTTCACACCCTATGCTCTGCACCCAGTGCAACCCAAGAGGAAATCCACGTGTCATCAAGTCCACAAAAAAGGTTTCAACCAAGAACATGCTGAGTACAGCTCCCTCAATGCATGGCTGGAGGAAGCAGGCTCAAAGCTCTTCTGGGCAACCTGTAGATGCAGTTATATACTGATAAGGAAAACACACACGTACTTCTGCCCAGCAGAAGCACATACAGGTGAAAACCACCAGCCAGTATATCTTCATTACTCTCTCAACAAGCAGAAGAGGGCTGGACAACACTCTCTTCAGAAGATTTGGACCAATACTGACAACGTAGGAACAAAGCCACAACACCTTTCCATGTGTGCTATAAGAGCCGGACAATCCTGGAAGGTGCCTCCTGCTAGAGGAAAGCAAGTGCACGTACCTTTCATCCCAAACTTGGACCGCCGGCCATACTTGTTGATCATAATAAAGAGGACGACCAAGAGGACACAAGCAAAAGCTGCCAGCCCAACTGCTATGGAAACCTGAAAGGAAAAAGCCTTAGAGTCAAGACAGAGGAATTTAGGAGTCTAGATTGGAAACACAGCACCTCCTTGCCTGGTTAACCTTTCCATAGGCTCACACCATCTGCTGCAGCCCCATGGATATCTGCTAAAGCAAAGGGCTCTGGCACAGCCTGGAAGCATCACAGGCTGCTTGCAGGATGAGAAGGTCTGGTACCTCCCTATCAGCGATGCTCTTCTGGCACCAGTTCTCCCCAGCCTCTCACTCCATGTATCTGCAGGGAAGGAAGACTTCTGCTCCAATGCCTGGGCTCTCCCTTCGCTGTACCACATCATGAGCCTCCATTTCTGACATCACCACTGTGCCATGACCTCACCACACTAAAGCTACACTAACCTGAGCTGGGTACACACAGCAGCAGTAGAAAATTCTTTAGAAAGAGCAACTCTGCTTCCATCCAAACACCCCTCAGGACAAAGAATGAGGGAAAATAACACACCACAAAAAACAAACAAACAAAAAAAAACCACAACACAACAAAAAAAACACCACACAGAAGAAATTAAGTAGAAATGTTCTGTTTTGTGTTTTGGTTGGTTTTTTTTTCCCCAAAACCCATTTGGTTTTCCTAAAGCCTCTAATGGTTCCCTGTTTATTGTAATTTTTAGTAGTAAACATTTATACTACAACAGTGTCCAAAGTCTTTCATTGGAACCGTAGTTCCACTGTATCAGTGTACAAGCAGAGAAAAGAAAACCTTCCTTGCCCTAAAGGGTTTACAATCCCAGGCTTATTTTAATATTTATGAATATTTATTCCTTCAAGTCTTTACTCGAGATACTTTCATTGCATTGATGTAAACAACAATTTCTTTGGCATTTGTCCAATTGTTCTCCTGTTCTGGGTCTTGCAATGCATTTAGACTTCACTTCCTTTTACAAAACTGTATTCTGCTATAATAGAAAATACCTCATTTAACCAAGAAAAAGTAATTTCATTTTGCAACCCTTTTCCCTGACCTTGATACATTAGCTACAGTATTTTTAAATTTTTTATTTTACCACACTCTATTTTCATCCTCCAGCTTGTTTTCTGTGCTTTATATTTAATAAACAGTGCACCTTACTACTCCAGTCTCACTGTTCAAAGCTTTCATTTCAGTTCTAGGAGATTTTCAGTTGGATGAGAACTGAAACCAAGGTGGATTAAGTTTTGTTCATTCTGTTAACACCTGGTGGGTTTCAAGATGTTAAATCTTTCACAGAATTAAAGCAATTGTGTAACATGATAATTTTTTTTCCCCAATAATTACACACTTTTTTTTTTTTTTTCTTCTTCTACCTAGATTCTGCAGAAGACAGACAATGGCAGATCTGATAAACTGTAGGCTTGCTTTCCTTTTTCGTTTTTGGCATGCCCTACAGAGCAGGAGAAAGGGCAAACTGGCATTGACAAAATTGAACCAATCTAAATCTGAGTCCCTCACAGGGCTAAACTTAACAGCTCAATAATAGTATGAAACACACAATTGTCTGTTTATTTGTTCTCTGGGTGCTACTTTTTTAGAGAGAGGATTTCTGACCCTGCCAGGAGCAACTTCATAGGATGCCTTATTTTCAAAGGGCTCTCTGGTTTCACACTGCAGACCCAATAGGATCAGATGGTTTGAGTCAGTATTTTACTTGCCTGACACAAGTGACAAAATCCTTTTGATTGTTGTCTTGAGTCATAAAAGAAGAGATTTTCCTTGCAAACATCTCAAAACAGCACAGGAATGTAAATATAGAGTCATCAACAACAAGAAATGCATGCAAACCAGTTCTGTAGAGAAAAGGACAGGACTCACCCCAAAAGTGTCCTCCTCCGGTTTGTGGGTCACAGTGATCGGTGGGGTGGGACTCACTTCATAATCACCGACTGAAACCAAAACACCAAAGATAGAAGATTCAGCGTGGCTCTCATGGGACTGCCAAGGCACCAGCACATCCCCAATGGCAATGTCTGACCTAACAAGATCCAGTTCACCCCTAACAGAGGATGCAACTTTCTATTTCAGAAGGCATCAGAGTCAACCATCCGAGTTTCCTGTGGACATCAGCAGAGAAAACACAGACAAGGACAATGCTGATGTCAAACCAAACTTACAAATGCGAAACAATTGGGTGCCTGGTGTCTTAGGGTGGGGTGGCCTCCACTGCTGAGCCATCTCCTAGAGTTCTCAGAAATCTAACAGGCTAAGTAGGGTTAAAACATAAGACTGACTCCAGCAGAAGTTGATCCAAATAAACAGTTACTGAGGTGGTTTTTGGAGGAGAAAACAAAACAAAAGAAATAAAGAATCTGCTGAGGAAACACTATAGAAGTTGAGTGCTCCTCCTCATCCCAGCCCACACTAGAAAGCATGTTATAATTGGGCCAAGACCCCTTCCACTACACCACAACCAAACATCATTTCCACTATAGGACCTTCTTCAGGATGTCATTGGAGGGAAATGTGCATCTCCTGGGCTCTAAAGATTATCCAGCTGATCAAAAGTTCCCCAGCCATCTTGTTCATGCATGAGGAAGCCAGGACCTTGTGCAATCTGCCAACCTGCTTTTGGCTTCCTGATTTTTTTCCTCCAGGAGCATGTCAGTCACAGAGGGGGAGGGGGAACCACAAAAACAAAACACCCACAGTATGCAAAGGGCAAGGAGACACTTACTTGAGACAAAGTTGTCTGTACTCTCTGTGGAAAGGACAAAGAGAGAAGCAACACCATTAGCAGTACAGTAAAAGGAGAGTGGTGTCATTCCCAGCCCACCTCAGACATACTCCACCACCCCGAAGAGCCCAGGAAACCAACTTTTCATATTTTGTCCCGTTGGGCAACTATAACTGGAAATTGCAGCACGTGTGCTAGCAGGACATGCTGGAGATCAGGATGAAGAGCACAGGGATAACTGTGCAGTGCACTTGGGCTGAAACAGGAGGGGAAGGATGCTACTCTAAGGCCAAAATGGAGAACAATTAGCAGCATGCTACCCAAACTTTTGAATGGTCGTTAAACAACCCTGCTTTCAAGCAGGCGAGCAAAACTCGACAGACAAATGGGGCTCGGCAGGATGGAGGCAGAGGGGTGAGAAATAGATTTTGCCTTGCATGGCAGTGTTAACCCAAGGACAAATTCCTACAAGGATGAGGACCACCTCCCACCAGGGAGGAGAGCAAAGCCTGGGGCAGGGGTTTAGAGGAGACCTTCCTCTGACCTCCTCTTCACGAGCCACTCATAAAAGTGAATAACATCTGAACTGGACATGGAGGCCGTGGCTGTCCTAGAGCTGCCTCTTGCTTGAGACAGCCACACCAGTCCCTGCTGTCAGCCTCTTGACTGTGCCAGTCTATTCAGTAAAGCTCCTTCAGCTCCAAAGGCAGCCAAGGCCCCAGACGATGAGGTCTAAAGCTCTCAGTGACACTCAGTTTACATAGCATGAGAATAACGTCAGCTTTCAATTCACTCGCCCATGTAAGAAATTGAGCCCGATATTAACTGGAGTTTACACAGCTTTGCTGGCAGAGGGCTCCTGGAAGGATGCTGAAACATTCATACTGAAGTATGGGTGAGGTTTGGAAGGGAAGCGTAAAACAACCCCCGGGTGACAAACATAGCTTTCCAAACCAGGGGAAAAAAACCTGAAAAAATATTTTTGTTTTAAGTCAAGCAGAAGAGTAACTTTCCTTGGCTTTTTCTAGCAAGAGGG